CGAGAAATTGGGAAAGGGCGTCGACGCGACGCGAGACAAAGGAATCGCAATTGCGAGAGACGTCAAGGACAAAGTTGGCGACAAGGTGTCGGAAGGTGTGCGAAAGGTATCCGAGGTTGGTAAAGCTGTTGGCGAAAAAGTGACGGATGGCGCGAAGGAGATTGGCACGGGGGTGGAAGCCGGGGCGAGACAAGTAGGAGACGCTGCAAAAGCGACGAGAGATAAAGTGGCGGCTGGCGTGAAGGATCGCAAGGACGAAGCGATCGCCTCTGCGAGGGATGCCAGGGATAAAGTCGCGGAGAGAGTGGTGGAGGGTGGCGAAGCGGTTGGGGAAAAAGTGGCGGCTGGTGTGGGGAGAGTGGAAGCAGCCGTTGGAAAAGCGGCGGACGAGACGAAAGGGACGAAGGACAGAGTATGTAAAGAAATTCGAGACGATGTCGAAAGTACGAAGCAACGAGTTTCCTCGGGGACAGATGCGCTAGTCGAGGGTGCAACCTCTGCGAAGGATAAAGCGACGAAGGAGGCTAAGAAGGCTAAGGAGAAGGGTAGCGGCTTCCTTACGGGATTGTTCAAGGGAGCGAAACAGGCGACCGACGACGTTGCCGACGAGGTGAAGGAATTTCTGGGCGCGACTAGGAGAGAGGCAGCGGAGGAAGAAGCTCGAGCCCGCGAGGCGAGGGACAAGGCAGCTGCGGAGGCGAGGGACGCCGAGAAGGCAGCGGGCGAAAAAGTATCGGACGTTGGCAAAGCGGTTGGCGAGGGGGTGAAACGAGTCGAACAGCGGACGGATGCTGCGATTCGTGACGCGGTCGATAGCGCGAAAGCGGCAAAAGATAAATTAACAACGACGGACGCCAAGGATAAAGCTGCGTCTGTCGCGAGAGACGCGAAGGATAAAGTGAAGGAGAAGGCGAGCGAGGGTGGAGAGAAAGTATCAGAAGCGGGTAAACGAGCGGTGGGAGAGAAAGTAGCAGTGGACGNNCGCGAAGAAAGTTGAGGCCGAAAATATAGGCGATGGTGCAAAAGCGGCGAGAGAGGAGGAGAAAGTAGGAACAGAAGTTAAGAAAGAAACGGACACGGCAGCGGATGCTGCGTCATCGGCGAAAGATAAAGTAGCAAAAGATGCTAAAAAAGGGAAGGAAAAGGGTAGCGGTTTCTTTTCCGGATTACTAAAGAGCGCGAAGCATGCCGTGGACGAAGTGTCGGAGGAGGTGAAGGAGTTCGTTGACGAAACGAAGAAGGAGACCGCGAAGGAGGAGGCGCGGGCGCGCGAAGCGTTGGCGAGGAAAGCGGATGCGGCGAAGGATAAGGCCGGGGCTGACTGGAACGATGCGAAAGATAAGGTGAAGACAAGCGCGAAAGACGCGATGGACGCAGTTGGAGGAAAAATAACCGAGGGAGTGCAAAAGGTATCGGACGCTGGGAAAATTGTGAGCGGAAAAATCGTAGAAGGAGCGAAAGGAGTGGAGGCAAAAACCGAAGCAGCTGCTCGAGATGCCGTCGAGAGTGGTAGAGCTGTCAAGGACAAAGCAATCTCCGACGCGAAGGGCGTTAAGGACGCGATCGCAACATCCGTCAAAGATGCTAAGGACGGTGTCGGTGAGAAAATATCCGAAGGCGTGGAGAGAGTATCGGACGCTGGTTCATTTGTATCCGCTAAATTGGTGGATGGAGCGAAGCGAATTGGCGGNGAGAAACGGAATCGGTCGCAAGAACGACGAAGGACCCTTTATCGGAGGAAATTAAAGGCGATGCTGCGAGGGAGAAAGCGATTTCTTCTGGGGTCGCGGAGGAGGCGAGAGACAAAGCCTCGAAGGAAGGTAAAAAGGGGAAAGAAAAGAGTGGCGGTTTTCTGTCGGGGTTGATCAAAGGCGTGAAACATGCGGCGGACGAGGTTTCGGGCGAGGTTAAGGAATTCTTCGACGAGACGAAGAAGGAAGCTGTCGAGGAGGAGGCGCGCGCTCGCCGAGCATTCGTCGCTAAAGCGAAAGAGGCGGACGCGGTTAAAGACGAGATTGCGACTGGCGCGAAAGACGCCAAGGAGAAGATCGGTGAGAAAGTAACCGCTGGTGTGCAAAAGGTGTCGGATAAAGTCGTGGATGGAGCGAAGATCGTGGAAATAAAAACGGAAACTCGAGCGCGAGAAATCGCCGAGAACGTCGAAGCGACGAGGGACAAAGCGGTGGCGGATGCGAAAGATGCCGGAGAGAAAGTTGCAACTGCGGCGAAGGATACGAAGGACAAGATCGGTGAAAAGGTGTCGGAAGTTGGGAAAGCTGTAGGCGCTAAAATTACCGATGGAATAAAGAAAACGGAAGCAAAAGTGGAAACAATCGGTCGGGATGTGAGCGATGGAGCGAAAACGACGAGGGACAAATTGGTCAAGGAGACGAAGGAAGACAGCTCGATCGTGAAAGAGAAAATCAGCTCTGGGGTGGATACTGCGATGGATGGCGCGAAAGCAGCGAAGGATAAAGCTTGGAAGGAGGGTAAGAAGGCGAAGGAGAAGAGCGGTGGTTTCTTGTCCGGTTTGATCAAAAGCGCGAAACACGCCGCCGATGAAATTTCCGGGGATGTTAAAGATTTCGTGGACGAGACGAAGAAAGAGGCAATCGAGGAAGAGGCTCGCGGCCGCGTGGCAGCGTCCGAAAAATCGAAACAGGTCGAGGTTGCCGCGGAAAAAATTGGCCTCGCGGAAAGTGGGAAAAGTGGGAAAGGCAAGGTTAAAAGCGCGCAGAGAGTATCGGATTCGGGTAAAGTTGGCAGCGAGAGGGACACCGGAAGAATTTTTGGAGAGAAATTATCGAGTCAAGTAGGACAGAGATTCATCGCGGTTAGTAGCGACCCTAAAAGCGCGGTGGCCGAGTTTCTGGAAGAAATGAAACGCGACTCCGCGTGGGACAAGGTGCACTTCCAACACGAGCCGGACGTCCATTTGTACGAAAACGTGGACACGATGTTCGTGAAAGAGAGGAAAGAGGAGGGTGAATCGAGAGAGGGTGGAACGGGGAAACACGAGAAAGAATCGTCAAAAAAATCGGCGGCGAAAGTTGCTTATTCGGTTTTCGATACGCACGATCCACTTTCTGAGCTAGATTCCGAGGCACGGATCAGGCTGTCCGAAAGAGGGATCGAGGACAGCGATGGTGGCGGGGAATCGATGTTCAAGAAAGTATCTCGCATTCCACAAAGAGTTAGTTCCTCGACGGAACGGGTTAGCCCTAGTAGTTCGTCGGATAGTAGTAGTTCGACGGTTAGGATATTAAATGTATTTAGAAACGTAGAGCACCTCGAGCCTCGCACACGACAAACCGTCACCACAGTCGTAACAAAGTCTGTGCGGACGGCAGCGACCCCACCACCCAGTCCCGCCGAGTACACTGACAGTAGAATTGAAGGTATCTTGCAATAATTTGCGTTATATAAATATTACATACCAGCTGTGTGTAACATGATTAATTAAGTTGATGCTTTTCTATAACTTATGTTTTGGTAGTCGTACCAAAATGGCCTAAGAAGGCCATTGCACTCTTATCATTCGTAATGAATATCTAACACTCTTGATCTTAATCACTTTTAGTGTACTAATGTTTACACGATCTTTTACGAAGCAACAACGTCAAACGTACTATAAAGTGTGTATTTTCCTTTTTTTTTTTTTTTTTTTTTTTATCTATCTAAAAATACGACGAACAAATACGTGATAAGTTTATCGCTTTTGCGATCACTGTTTCAAAAAATTACGTATTTCAAACTTGTATCATATTTTTTTTTTTTTTTTGATAATCTAATCGATCGTCGCGATTGCCCACTTTATAGTATGAGAAATCTAAATGAAAAGAAGATACATCGTGATCGACCGTAGAAAATACATATGTAAAAAACAACGTGTTTACCATTATTTCTATTTATTTGCTGTTATTATTTTCAGTTTTTGCGTTTTAACTTTGTTTAACAATTCTTTAATGCATGTTTCCAGGTTTTCTTATGCTATTTTTTAACATTATAATATTATCCACCACCAAAAATGTTTTATATATTCATCGATAACGAGATTTATCGGTCCAAAAAAAAAAAAAAAAAGAAAAAGAAAAAAAAACCGA